CCCGTTGCCTTACTGCTATGGCAGAAGGCTTTATCACATGTGGGTGTGCTATATATATAGAACAGGACAAGGAAGGAGGAAGAGATTTATATTTAGAGGCAGAATCCAAGAGTGAAATGGAATTTTGGAAACACGAACTGTACAATAACTGATTCTGAAAACATTATGCCTGAATCTGAAACACATTTTTCAACTAACCCTTATGATCAAGAATCTTTTGTCTTTCAGAACCAGGGTTAACTACGTCATATAACAGAAATGCCTTTATGACATCACTAGGGGCTGTCAAATAGTCTGGATTTGGGGCTGTGTCATGGCCTCTTTGCGACACTCCAAAGTGGCACTTGCCAGGGGTTCAGGGTGGACCAGATTCTCTGCTGAGTTTAAACATGGATCTCTCACATCCCTGGTATCCTGGGAGCTTTATGTCACTGGGAGAAAGAGAGTGTCCCCATTTGTGTCCAGCTCTGGAATATCTTGAGAAAATATTGTTTAAAATCATGGTATAGGAGTCTAGATAAAAAACATTTCAGATCACTACTGAGTGTTTTTATCATAGGAACCATGTAAATCAGATTATCTTTCAGAAAGACAAACACAAAAATCAGACCCCTACTGTTTGACCAGCTATCTTTTAAATTCTCTAAAACTCTTCTAACCTTACATAGTCATGTACCACATACAGATAAGACAGTGAAACTCAAAGATTTTATCAACATAAGCTCAGGATAATCAGCATAATTCAAATGTAGTAAGATATCCCACATTCTAAGAGATAAAGTCTTCATATTTCTGTTCATGGTGGACACCAGAGAAGAGAAACTATGCACTTGTGAAGGATGTGACACTCTTGTATAACAGGGATTGAGGACTTTGTGTAATTGTACACACAACAAACAATTCTGGGAAAATCTTGTAGGTCTCCAAGCATGACACAAAGGCCATGTTACAGTTGTTTTCTGGGTGCAGAAATTACTAAACACGACCATGAAATTATCTGGCATGCTGGTCACAACTACTTTTACACTATATGATCCTGCCTATGGGCAACTATCTTCATGAGGACTTACAAAAGCCCTTGGATGCTAGTAAATCTCAGAAAATCAGTAACACAGAAATTTACTTACTATGCCTCTAGGTTATGCATGACTTTGGGGAACGTCCAAAGAGCTGCATTGTGCATATCTTACAGATTTTAGAAATGTGAGAACACAGTCCTGGTGTGATATTGATTCTGTTTTGGTGCAATATGGTCATTCATGCCATTACTGGTCAAGCAGCACAAAAATTTTTCCCTCTCTCTATTCCAAAAAGCTGATGATATTTCATTGCTTCTAGTCAGGATGCTGGCATCCCCGAAGAGAAGTCCATGCTAGGGTCCTTTTTCCACATATGACTGGGACAAGAGCATATAGTGACTTGGCATTTTCAGGAATGTATGCTGATAATCTCTCAGCCTAAAAAAGTGTTAGGGCTAAGTTCTACCCTCAGCTAAGCCTCTGCGATTCACACTGAAGGCCTCCATCCTTCTGCCTGCTATCCTCCATACAACAGAATTAACACTGGGCAGTTGTACAGGGACATAAAATGACCATTTCTCATTTCTGACCATTAATTAAAAGCTTCCAGCAAAACAGAACAGATGACTGGCCCTGGAGAACTTGTGTTCTTATGTGGACTGAGATCCTCCTGCTGGGGCAATCACCGAATTTCAGCAGAGTCTACACAGCAATGCCTCTTCTCTTTTTTTATGTTCTTGCCCTTCTTGCAGAAGCAGTGGAGAGCATGCCGACCTGATGGGAGTGATGCTGGTTTTAAGAGAGAGGTGTTGTTGGCCAGCAGCAGCAAGAAGCTACAGAACACCCTTAAGAAAACCAGATCTGTCTAGCTTAGAATTGAGCTGGTTTGCTATTCAACAGGCTTTCTTACAGGCTGGGAAAATAGGCCAGCACTTCAGCATTTAGTGAATAATCTTGCTCTCCCTGTGGCAAGTCACAGGCAAAGCCTGTCACAGAATTCGAAGTAGGAAGATAATTCCTCCTCCACAAGGGCATGCTATTGTCCTTTAGACACATATCTAGAGCTGACTGTGAATATCAAAACCACCTTGCTCATAATAAATCGGAGAGCAGTAGCTGAGGCTGACACATAAGGGTTGATCCTGCTGA